GGGGGGGCCAATTTTGACCCCAGGGCTTTTATTTGACCAAACTTGTAGACACTCATTAGAAGATTTTTCATGCTAAATATCTTAGCTCTAGCTCTTTGGGTTCTTTAAAAGAAGATTTTTTTAAGATTTTACTATATGCATATAGGGAAAATCAATGACCCCCCTGGGGCAGGGCCAATTTTGACCCCAGGGCTTTTATTTGAACAAACTTGGTAGACACTTACTAGAAGATGTTTCATGCCAAATATCTAAGCTCTAGCTCTTTGGGTTTTTTAAAAGAAGATATTTAAATTTTTTTGGTTGCCATGGTAACCAGAGTTCTGCATGGAATTAAAATTCTTTGAACAATTTTTAAAGGTGACCACCAAAGGAACATTCCTGTGAAGTTTGGATGAAATTGGCTTAGTGGTTTATGAGGAGATGTCATTTAAAGTAAAAGTTTACGGCCAGACGCCGGACGAAAAGCTACCACAAAAGCTCACCCTGTCACTGTGTGACAGGTGAGATAAAAACTCTCCATTCTTTGTCAAAAAGTTTAGTTTCAACTTCAATTATAACTAGGGTTGGTGACAATACTTCCATTTACATATTAAAACAATATGTCTGACTTATCCCCCTATTTTTTTTTGCTCTAGCTCTAAAAAGGGCCTGTAACCATGAAATGCATATGCCTCAGACCAAAACTGTTATAAATGACTCAACAATGCTGTGGTGATAATCACATACATTGTATACAGTTTGTATGTGTCGAGTGTTTTTCCTACAATTGTTTTACTCTGACAACAGATTGAAAAAGTGTGAAAAGATATAGTTCATGTTAATTGCATATTTTGATTTGGCTAATGTGATACATTTATGCATACTAACAAAGTTATTGAAAGATTAAAATACTATAAAATTACCTTTAATGATAAAAGTATTGGCTTTATGATTGGTTTGCTTATTTTCCTTGTTTCCAGGGGATTCCTCGTTAGAAATTGGGGTCTTCTCTGTGGGTTCTGGCTCACTACTTATCTAGTAAAAATAGAATACATGGATAATTCTATACTAACATCCCTTCATGTTTAAATCAAAATTTCATCATTTTCATCGGCATCCTTTAACAACTGATTGACAATAGTTTTCCATGATTATTGAAAAAAACACAAACAAACAACACTTTCTGTAAAAAATAAGGGATATAATTATACCCATGTTTCAGTTACATATTTATGAGATGAGTGACTGTATACCATTGTAACCCCTTCATACAACATACTATATTTACTTGTTTCTGTACATTACCTGATTAGATGCAGCTGAAAGTTCTTTCACAAAAGCATACACCATGTCATTGATCTTTGATTTCTCCTCATGATTCAGTTCTCTCCCTATATGCTCTTTATATTTCATCCTCACATGCTTCTTTGTTACAACCCTATAATTTAATGCAACATTTTTTTTAATAAATTAAAAGATTTATTAAGATTGATTTAGGATAAGTTTATTATAATACAGGGTTTTTTTCCAGTATTTTGGGAACACAGGGTTTTTTTCCAGTATTTTGGGAACATGACCCATACCCTTGAGATTGGGAATTTTAGCGGCATTTTGCCCAAAATTGGGAAAAAACCCACAACATTTTCAAGTTTCCTGAGGAAATATATTCCTTTTCTAATATTATAGTATTTAGTTCACAAAAGTAGGTCTCTGATTTTCAAATTTTTGAACTGTGTTATTGTATGGTGTTTCGACTTTACACCTCCTGGATGTTTCACCCTCAAAACCCTGGTGTTTTCATCACCACTTTTTAAATTTGATAAATATATGAAATAAATACCATTATGGGTTATAATATTATATATAATATAACACATACTTGCAAACAATGACATTCATGAAGATTTTTTTGACATAAATATAGTGAAATTTCCCTGGGAAAATAATTATAAATATGAGTTCTGAAAGAATTATCAGCTATAAGTCTACATGTATATATTATTTCATTTTTTTTTTGTTATCCAAAAATTAAATACCATAAAAATATTGATTGAATAAAATATGTTTTTATATAACAGATAAGAACAATAAGAAGTGTGAAACAATTTTGAACAAGCAATTATCATAGTATTGCAAGCAATCCATAAGTCCCCTACCGGTTAGAACCCCAGCAACATTCTGAAGGGCCATTGGCCATTCACTAATGTTTCAATTTTCTCTATTTTAAGTAAACTTGTTGGAAAAGTTCTTTAAAAGTGATCACAGGAAACAGTTTTTATGAACAGACAGACAGACGGACTGAAGGACACTCTAAAGTTAATATTTGAAACATCCCTGTTACCAAAATATAACATTTTAAAAGCAAAATTCTTAAAGAGGAGATAACTCTTGAATTAAAGATGCAATTTCATAAAAATTTCAGCTCTTTTTGACTAATCACGAATATTGTTATATTTGCCATGTTTTAAGCCTATTTGTTGCCAAGGCAACTGATATTTTTTCAAAATAGGAAGAACAGATAAGACATGCATAATCTCAAGACTGCTATCTACCCATATGTCAAGTTTCATAAAAATATTTCCAGTACTTTTTGAGTTATCACTGGATTCAGTTTATCTGTAAAATTTGCCATATTTTCAGTCTATGTGTTGCCATAGCAACCAGAATTCTCAACATAGGAAGAAAAGAAAAAGACGTGCATAATCTCCATACTGCCATCTACCCATAATTATGTCAAGTTTCATAAAAATATTTCCAGTACTTTTTGCTTTATCACTGGATCCTGTTTATGTGTAAAATTTGCCATAATTTCAGCCTATTTGTTGCCATAGCAACCAGAATTTTCAACATAGGAAGAAAAGAAAAAGACGTGCATAATCTCAAGACTGCCATCTACCCATATGTCAAGTTTCATAAAAATATTTCCAGTACTTTTTGCGTAATCACTAGATCCAGTTTATGTGTAAAATTTGCCATATTTTCAGCCTATTTGTTGCCATAGCAACCAGAATTTTCAACATAGGAAGAAAAGAAAAAGACGTGCATAATCTCCATACTGCTATCTATCCATATACCAAGTTTCATAAAAATATTTTCAGTACTTTTCAAGTTATCACGGGATCCAGTTTTGTGGACGGACGGACTGACGGACTGACAGACAGACGGACGGACAGACGGACGGAGGGTAAACCTAAAGTCCCCTCCGGTAAACCGGTAGGGGACTAATAAAGCATTATAAACACAGGTTTATTAATTACTAAATTAGCACCTTTAGAAGTGTGTAACTAATAGTTCTTTTTAGTTTTTATAAAATAGGAAATAAAATTATATGATGAAAATAACAGTGTTTATTTTAATGTTATGTTATTGTATTGTGCATACATTGTAGATATAGTAATTGACTCTGAATAAAATTTAGTAAATCTTATCATTTTGTTTTTATCTGTTTTTCATACATTGATACATATTTGGTAAATTTTATTTGAACAAGAATGTCATTTTTTAAAATTTCTTAATTATAAATTTCAAAAAACAAATATTCTCTCAATGTCTATCATGCAACTTTATATGATAATGAGTTATCTGTCATCTGTAGCTGAAAAAAACTTGCACAATTTGCAACAATACCAAACTTTTGCACCACTATAAAACAACAATGCATACTTCAACTCGTATTTGTTGGAACTTAATAACATTTGATCATTGACAGGGACAACTGTATCTGATTTAAACTTGTCGCTAGAACTTTTAAAACCCCGAGAAGGAACATCATTGTGGTAACTCACGGTCACCGTTGAAGGATTTCCCATTAGTACTTGCAGTTTCATTCGCCGTTTCAGAAGTACAACTCTTTTTCGAGAGAGTCGCTTGCGTAAACATTAAATCATTTTTTTTGTTTTTGTCAGTGCTTTTTTAACGTGTGAAACATTTTGATTTACTTTCACTTTCGAAGGTCGTCGGTATCGTAAGACGCTCGATAAACTTATACTAAGAAATCAAGCGTCTACTTAACATGTGGGTTGTTTAGACGCCGGCTATTTGCTTAATTTTACGTTCCCCCAAAGATCGATTTTTAAAATTTTTCTTTTAAGTTTTCGATTGGGAATTTTTGTATCAAAATTGGGAAAAAAACATACTATTTTCAATTGGGAATATGACCGAATAACGGCTATAAAATCGGCCCAAAAAAAACCCTGTAATAATTTGGACAAAATGCCTATATTTGGTGACTTTGGGCACAGGTCTAAAAGACACTTGAAACAGGATGGACCACAGCCTTATTCAAATCAATTCAGAACTTATAACATATATGTACATGTTTTGAAAGAATGCAAGTGATTATTTTCATCAGTTCATTTATTATCTGATGAGAATATTCTATTTCCATGAACTATTCAAGCCCAAAAATCCTTAATTTCTATAAAAAAAAATCATAACCAATAACATCAAGATTTTAGGCTGGCAATTATTTTTTCCTGTATTTTACAGCCGAATATAGGCTGTTTCCCTTAGCCCAAAATAGGTATATTTTCCCCTAAAAATGTTATATTTCCCCCGAAATACCCTGTGCACATTCTTCACCAGAACCATAACTTATCAGCAGCTGACATATTAGCTAGAAGACAAGAAGTGGTCCCTATAGATAGTCTCTGCTATGTACCATGTATGTCATTATGAATTAAAATTGAAAATTTTATAAAATAGGAGGGTAAATTCTATTCTCAGTTGTTGGAATTTGGTTTTTCCCCTTTTCTGATTTATCACGCTATATTTTCCCCTTCAGAAAGCCACAGGTTGTATTGAAAATTGAAAAATAAATACTGGACTGGAAAACATGAAATAGATTTCAGCAAGAACAATAAGAAACAAAATGCCATCAATTTCAATTCCATTAAAAACAGCTTCTTATAATGGCCGTTACTGGGCCTATGTCTAGGCACAGAAACTTGAAATTCTATCAAATAACTAATATTAACGATATCATAATATCCATAAATCACCCCCATTTAACATAGTAAAATTTATAGTGAGCTCGAAAAGCTGGCCCGAAGGGCCTGCTCGCAAAGCGAGCTATACAGTAACGTGAGTATGTGCTAGATGAGGGCGTCCGTGGCCGAGTGGTTAAGGCTGTTGACTTGAAACCACTTGTCCCTCACCGCTGTAGGTTCGAATCCCTACAGGGACCTTGGATTCTTTCATATGAGGAACCTATCAAGCTAGCTTACGGAACGTTGGTGGTTCTACTCAGGTGCCCATTCGTGCCTGAAATAATGCGCGGAAGGGCACCCGAGGTCTTCCTCCACCATGAAAGCTGGAACATTGCCAAATGACCTATACCGTGTCGGTGTGACGTAAAACCCATCAAACAAAAACCTGCTAGATAGTGATGGTTTTATTAACTTTCGTCCAAAGTACTGAACTGACACATCGCAACTCTTCGAATTACAAGATTACCATAAAAGCAGAGGTTTTCTGATTGAAAACGGAAGCATAGACCGGTGTCCTGCGCACTTCTATGTAAACCATAACAGGACAGGGAACCAAAATAAATGGAAGCAGTGTATTAAATACCGAATGACAATTTTAAAACGAAAAATATAATATAAAAATGAATGTTTTTGAATATTTTATACTATTTCACGTTAAAAGTCAATCAAGCTCGCTTTAAGGCTTTGCCTTTTTCATATTACTATATAGGGAGTATTTTTTTATACTATCGTTATTATTAGATATATTATTAGAATTTCATGATTTCAGATAATTTCCTGTGGTCTAGGCCATTGAATCTGTTTTCAACAGTTCAATTATGCTCTTGTGTTCATTTTTGCCAATTTCCCGGATTAAACCCTGCCATATATTTCAGAAGTAAACCTTCTATATTAAACTACAGGAGAAGGAAATGTCCTGGTTAAGACCATGGAATCTGCACAATGGCGTTTGGAGCTACACCCAGTGTCTATGAATAAACAAGACACGTTTTTGGAGCAGTATCCATCCATTTTGGAAATTACAGATCGTGCTTATAATAAACTTAACGTAGGTATTCAAATATATATCCAACTTGAATGGCTATAATTGGTAGAATAAAAATAATTCAAGTTTGAATATTTTTCAAAATTTTAAAGTCGCGAAAACATATGACATAATAAAGAAAATTGTTCCTTCAGAAGTTAAAGCCAGCAAAAAATGACAGATCGTAACAATTAAAACAGTCGATATGTAATAAATATATTACGCCAAATCGGCATCCTTTAACAACTGATTGACATAATTTTCCATGATTATTGAAAAAGTGGGAATCTCAGAGAAAAGGCAATCTCTGCGCATGCGTTAGGTTTCAAGGATGTAAGTATTCTCCGGTCCGGTCGCTTCCGGTCTCCGGTCTCTCCCGACCGGTCTATTTTCAGGGAATACACATACAATTTTATCACACATATCAACTTGAATATATATAAAAACACACACATAAATGCAACAAAAATAATTATAAGATTAATTAATGAGTATGTTCTATGTAACCCTAGGATTGCCAATTAAGCTAAAAGCTTATTTCCAATGGGGTCCATTTAATGTAAAATTATTACACTAACTTACATAATAATAAATGAATTATAAAGAAGTTAAAATAAATGACAATTTTCAACAATCAAGATACATTTTTCAATATAATAAGACAAGTACATTGTACACAAACAAAATGAAATAAATTTCGTTTAAACTAAAACATATCGAGTACAACATAAACATGTTACAAACTCTTATCATAAGTTACACATCAATTTAATAATAAATAAACATAATTATTCACTTGTTTATCATTTTCATTACTTAAAAAAAGTTTTACTTTCGTTTTAAATGTTTGGATATTGTCAATTGATCTAATGTTGTCTGGTAAAGAATTCCAGTCTTTTATGGCATTGTAGAAAAATGTATTTTTAACATAAGAATCATTTTGAGGCAAACAAAATTAAGATTACTAGATCTTAAATTGAATATTCTACAAACCTTAAACAATTCCTTTAAATAAGAAGGGCTTTTGTTGTAATAAACTTTATGAATGTGGTTGAGTCTTAACTGTCTAACTCTATCATTGACATTTAATAATTTAAGATCGGACAGAACCTTATTTGTCACCGAAGTCCTAGGAGTGTAATCTTTTATAAAGCGCACAACCTTATTTTGAGCTACTTGAAGTTTGTGCTTCAGTGACTTTTTTTGACCGGAATTTTTGAGTATACATCGTAATTATATAACATACAGTATATAATTTTTATTTGATCTATCAGAGGCATAGATAACAGAGATAGGCAACTTCCAAGCCAGTTAAGACATCAAAATTGCTTGCTTGCTAAACCAAAAACTTATAGCAAGTAAAATTTATTAACCAAATCTGGGACATACGATATCGTATATCCCAGGGCTCACGCTGTCGGTCGCCATAGTCGCCATTTGCGATTATTTTATAAGATTGGCGATTATTTTTGCATTTTGGCTACAAAATCTGGCGATTATTTTTTACTTCCAACAGTGTTTATATAAGGTGTAAAAATCGATAATGAATGCAGTAGACCCAATTAACACCAGCGGGGTGCATTTAATTGAGTGTCAACTTTTTACCGGTCACGTGCTGCTAACTATATTGCCCGAGATGATAAAATACATGCGAGATGTATAATTGTATAAGTACTTTAAAGATATTGTCCAGCATTTATAATAGCCATCAAATATCCGTCAATTAGCCACAAAAATCGTTTTAAAAATTGATAAACTGGATATTGACTTACCCAAAATTTACCGTGAATTCCAGTAATTGCAAATTTTGATTTTTTTTTGTTTTAAGTTACTTA